ATGGTGAGCGCGGGCTGCGGGCGCTGGGGCGGGGCGCGGGGCCGCCGGTGCACGTGTGCCTGGGGGCCGCCTCCAGCCTGGGCTTGAGGGGACGTGGGGTTAAGGACGCGGCCGCGCCCCTGCCTTCCTCTGCCTTGCGGCCTGCGGGGCCGGGGGAGACGCCAGCTTGTGTGAAGTGCAGAGGCATTAACCCGAGCCCGTCTGCAGAGATCCACCACGCGGATCCGCAGAGGCGGCGGCTGGGCGCAGGGCCCTAGGCTTCCTTGCGCAGCTGCAGCAGGTGCGAGGGGCTCCCTCCGTCCGGACCGCGCTCCCTGCTGGTGTTTGCTGGTTAAAGCCACCAAAGCGCCGTGACCCAACCGGTAAAGACAGAAAAGGGGGAGGGAGGCAAGTAGGGCTGCCAACCCTCCCAGATTGCCCAGGAGTCTCCTGGAATCAGCATCGGTCTCCCGGTGACTGTTGAAAGCAAGCCGGGAGACTTTAATAGGACATCATGTTGGAAAAAGAAATCTCCCAGAATAGCTTCGGTCAGAATTGGCAGCCCTAGGGGCAAGTCGCCTGTGCCTGTCCCTTCCTTACATAGTCTGCTGCTCTCAATCTTCCCCACCTCCTCCTTCTCCAGGAAGGACTCCAGCATGAACTCACTTACAGCTATTGCCTCAAAGCCCCCTGGAGATGTGCTCATTGTGCCAGGTCTGAGCATGGTTTTCCATCGCTGCCCCAGTAGCACGCTCCAAATGACGACTGTCTCAGCATGTGCCTGGTTGTGCCTAGTTCTCTGTAGAGTGAAAAGCTGGTGACTGGGGTTTTGCGGAAGAGAAGTACTTCTACTGCTCCTCCATGCCAGCACTTCCTATGGCTTAGTAGCTAACTCACCCAGGGGGGAACACTAGCAAAGTATCTAGAGAGGAGAGAAATCACGGGGCTGCCCCTTCTAGGGCAATGGGGAGAGGGCACAGCTAAAGGTGGGAAGTGGGAGGGGTTCCTTGCTCTGGTGAGAAGAGTTGAGGTGCTCTTCAAGGGGTACTTTGGCACTGGCTGACCTTCTGCTGGGTCCCAACAGTATCACAGATTTCATGTCCACACAATCTTCTCCTTCCAGAGGTTCCGGTTCTGTGGAGACTTGGACTGTCCTGACTGGGTCCTAGCAGAGATCAGCACCTTGTCTAAAATTGTTAAGTGGAAAAGGCATTTTCTTTTTAATGTTTATTTCTGTGGTTCTTACAGTTCTCATGCTATGCCTGTTGCCCACCAATCAAAGCATATTTTTACTCTTAAAAAAAAAAAGGGGGGGGATAGAAAGTCATGTACCGTGAACCAGTAGGTTGCATGTACAGTGGTGGGGAAGTGCCAGTGCTACACCTACAGTGGTGGGGAAGCCATGGGGACACTGACTTGATGGGTCTTAGCACTGGGTATCTGGGCAAGGAAGCTGTGATCCCTCCCAGTCACAAGAGCAAACAGCCCAGGCTGTGTCCTATGGCCAGAGTGGCTTTCCACAGGTCAGAGGCAGGAGGCTTTTGAACAGGTTTTGTTTAAGGGCTAGAGAGAGAAACTGATGCCACACAAGAGCTACCTAGGACTGTTTTAGACTGATTGTTGCCTATGGAAATCCAGGGCACTTCATGTTTTAGATTGCAAAAGGGGCAGTGGGGCACAAAATTGTTAAATGGTTTCCTGATGGGGCTCTGTGTATGTGTGTGTGTGTGCATGTGTACTCATACACTTTGAGGGGTGGTGCTTATATGCTCCTGCCAAGGGAGGCCTGAGGAGTAAAGTTCTCTTCTGTTGTTCTCTGTTCAAGTCCTCAGTGAAGCTGAAGCTGATCTGTGCCCAGGTGCTGAAGGACCTGCTGGGAGAGGGGATTGATGTAAGCGAATAACTTTCTTTTCAGTTGCTTTTAGAGTTATAGATCTCCTCTTAGCCTAACCCAGTCCCCAGCAAGAGGGAGTATAGGGTAGATACAACAGCCATCCCTAGGGTAGGCAGCCAGGTCTTGTGGGGAGGGTATTAGAGGGCCAAGAGCTCTGCCACCAACTAGCTGAGTGACCTCAAGCAAGTCATTTAAAACCTTTACCCCCTGTGTCCCTAACTGAGAAATAAGGCTAATGCCTTCCCCACCCAGCAGTGAGTAGGGCTGGATAATGGCCAAGTACTGCAATGCTAGAGCAAGGTTTATTATCTACTATCCTAAGGGCATGTTATGTCCTGGTTTTTTTTTTTCATGTCCTCACTAGAGGAGTGGTGTGTGGCTGCTAGCATGGGTTCCCTTGAGATCCCCCAGCAAGAATCCTGGCTGCTGGCACAGAAGGGTGCTGCCCACTGATCCTGAGCCTGCGCAGGGGAAGTGTGCAGTTAGACACGTGCCTGGTGCCCTTTGGGATTGACGAATCCTACCAGTTACGTGCACCATGAGTCTGTTGATTTTGCAGTGAGGTGGAGCAGGAGCTGAGGGGACTGGAAGTTCTAGTCCCAGGACATTTTTTGACTTCTTCTATGGCCTGGGGCTAGTTAGAAGAAATCTAGTAGCTTCTTGTATTTTGGGGGCTGACTTGAGATCTCCTAGCCCTGTGCTTGCATGTGCACTGCTGACTCTCAGTACTCTCAAAATCAAAGGACTGTTATGACAGCATTGGCCTTAACGTGGCACTGCCTGCCTCATTTCACTTGGAGGGTGTTTAGGATTTGCTCAGTTAATGCCCAGAGGTTGTTATAAACACTGCAGGTAGCAGGGTTTCCTGGGGACTGCTGAAGCCAAGTGTTGCTTTTCTCTTGCAGTATGAAAAGATCTTAAAGCTGACGTCAGATGCCAAATTTGGTGAGTGGCCCCCACCACCTCTTTCCCAGAGCTGTTGTGGGTCTGTGGCATAGACTTCTGCAGCACTGTTCTTAAACTGGGGTGGATTGGGTTTTTCCTGTCGGGGTTGTTCCTTTGTGCTTACAGCAAAGAGGGTTCTGCAGCTTGCCTGGGTGCAAACATGGGCTTTGGCTGCCTCTGAGTGTCCCCCTTGTTCATCATGGAATGAACCTAGAAAATGTAGAGCTGGAAGAGACCCTCAGCAGGTTTTCTAGTTCAGCCTCCTGCTTAAGGCAGAATCGCCTCTCTGTAAACTAAACTGCACCACAGGCACCTCTGAATAAAAACATTTCTCCTCTGGCTTTTAGGAGCCCCCAGGGTTTGTCAGGTGTATTTTCCTGAAGTGGTTCCCTCACGATCATGGAGAAATGCACTGAAGGCCTGGGGCAAAGGCATTAGAAACAAACTGTGCAGTCTTCTCCCTTGAGAGCAAGCCCAGGGTGTCTAGGATCTCCTCGGTGCCCTTGTTTTTCTCCTGGGTGGAAGATGCTATCAGTCATCAGTCTGATGAAGTGCTGCTTCTAACTCCAAAGACAGTCCTGGCTGTGGGGTTATGTAGGTTGTTCCTTGTGTAAAGAGGAATTGGCCTGTGCCTGCTTGTGATTATCACAGGAGCAGTCAACTTGTCAGGCCCTGTCCACACACCTGAGGATCTGTTATTCCAGTCTGGAGGACCTGGCAAAATTACTGGGGCAGTTTAGAAGAAAGGGGTATGGGAGAGTGAATACAAAATGTCTAGTTGGGGTTACATTAGGTACCTGCCTCTGTCTGGCTTCCAGTCCCTTGGGTTCTTTATGTTTACGGTCTCATCCCTTTTTTTTTTTTACCTGTTTTTACTGTTGGCTTGTATTACATCCTTAGTGGTTATGGGTTCATGTGCTAATTATGGACAAGGTGCCCAGTGCATTTTGCTTGTGTGCCTTTTCACTGTTGGCTCAGATGTCTGTTCATATATCCTCTCTAGTCTGGTGTAAATGAAATGGCCACGTCCATGGATATTGAATGATGCACTGGTGAGGCAGATCTTTGCTAGCATCTGAGAGCTGCTTCCCAGAATGGAAGAGCTCACAGTGTAAACAGTCCCTAAGACAGCTCCTTGTCCCTCCAGAGTCTGGGGATGTGAAGGCCACGATCGCAGTGCTCAGCTTCATCCTGTCCAGTGCAGCCAAGCACAACGTAGACAGTGAGTCTTTGTCCAGCGAGCTGCAGCAGCTGGGGCTGCCCAAAGGTAGGGGAGACATCTCTTGGGCGCGGTAGCTTGGAGATCAGTAGCAGAACCTCTACTGCCTGATGCAATATTAAGTAGAGGAGGCTGGGAAGTTCAGCTGGATGTGTTTCCCCCTGTGCAACCCACCCCCACACCTGCTGGATAACTATGTCCCTCCATTGCGTGCTGTGTCTCGTGCTGCTGGAGCAGCCAGTCCATTCCCCCCTGGGATGACTGCAGTTGGAGGAGGTGTCCCCCAACAAGGAGGAGATGGAGTTAGCTGCATCAACCAGTGTGAGGAGGCCTTGCAATAGTAACTGGGCCACCTTCTGATTAATATGTTCCTTATCAACACCTGTTGCTCTGTTATGGGCATCCTGCTGGATTCCCTCTGCTAAGCAGAGTTGAGCTGTTTGCAGTCAGGATGCCCATAGGAGCCCAAAGGAGCTGGGGCTGGGCTATGTGGGGGCTGAGCTGGTCTTCAGCAGGTGTCTGTCGTCTTGATTTCCCCACCCCCCAACTCCTCCTTGCCTTGTAGAACATGCCACAGGATTGTGCCGTTCCTATGAGGAGAAACAGAGTGCCCTGCAGGACAGCCTCCGCACACGTAGCCTGAGATGTGAGTGTGCCTGCTTTTGGCCAAGAGTGATGGGGCAGGCGCAGTTGTTCAGGAGGGAGATACATTGACATCCTGTGCCCCTTTGACTCTTTTGGTGAAACCCCAAGAGGAACTGCTTCAGCCTCTGGAACTCCCTGGGGAGGGTCTGCTCCTTTGCACTCCCTGAGGGAGGGTCAGTTTATTAAGGGCTGGAGCATGTGCTCCCTGGCACAGCTAGCTGGGTTTTCAGGGGTCTCTGGTCCAACACTTCTGTTGCTGATGTTGCCTCCTCATTGTGGGCTGAGACCTCATCAGCCCCATCCTGGTCCAGTTAACTTATAGGATGAGATCACAGAGTACAGCAGGAAATGGAGTCGGTGATCCACCTGGGGGCATCTTCTTCTCAGTCAGCATGGAGGGTGTTGGAAGCACTGTGTGTTCTCTCTCTTTGCCACAATGAGATTAGAGCTGGGGTCCTAAATGCTTGGACCCACAGGAAGCTTTGCAACAAGGTAGAAAGCAGGAGCAAGCAGCTTGCTAGCTGCATTACATCCATCTGACTTATTGGAGAGCTAACCTCTGCTGGCCTCAGTTCCCCTGATACTGCTGCTGGATGCTGCCATCTTTTTCTCCCAAGTCCAATGGTCTTGCTGTGTGCTGCCAAGACCATAGCTGTGTTCCACACTAGAGGAGGCTGCATTTTCTAGGGTGGAAGAATCCCCCTGACAACTTTTGACAGGCTTTGCTGGGCAGAGAATTGCCAGAGCAGCCTGTGGAACTGGCTTTGCCTCTGTTCTCAGTGAATCAGCTGGACTCTGTGTCCTGGAGGGTGGATTACACGCTCAGCTCCAGCGAACTCCAGGAAGTCAACGAGCCACTTGTGCACCTGAAATTCAGCATACGAGACCGGGACAGAGGAGTGACGGAGCCCATTGCCATGGCGGTGTCAGCAGAGAAGTTCCAAGTTCTGCTGGCAGGTGAGTAGGTGGCTGAGGCAGTAGAGAAGCACTTCCTTGCTGCATGGCATATTCCTTCCTGTTCTGTGATAGTAGGTGGGGCAGACATTCCGTGAGTTATTCCCTTGCTTTGAGAAGTCCCTCCAGATTCCCCTGCTGAGACCTGGGTGCTTGGACACCCCACTGCTATCGCCTCTCTGCTTTTCTGCTTTCAGAGCTGAAGCAGGCCCAAGCCCTGATGAAAACTCTCCATGGATGAGCTGGGAGAATATGAGCGAGCATGGAAGAACCCAGCTGATCCTGAAGCAGCCTGTAAAGCCTCTTGTGATGATGACTTGCCTGAGACAACCCCCTGCATCTCCTCAGCCAGATTGCATGAGCAGAGATGGGTGGGGGCACAGGGAGGGTCCTGGATTCTCTCCTTCTTTAGCAGGCTTTTGAAATGGGAAATTGTTGCTCTCGATGCTGATTACATTCTTCATGGCTCTTCTCACCCTACCCCTACTAGCACCCAGCCATCATCTCCATTTTGCCCACAAGGCCAAGCTCTCTTCCTACAGCAGCTCCTCTTGTACCTCCACCAGCCATACTCCAGATCCTTAACAGAGATCAGTTGCTTCCATAGTGGCTAATGTGGTGTCCACCTTAAGGCCAGCTTCAGGTTATGGTAACACCAGTGAGTTGCCACCACAGTCCTACCACCCTGTGAAGGGGTAGCCTTGCAATACCCACACTATGCTTGTGCCTGCTGGCTGGAGAGTGGGTTCAGAGCTTAAAAGCTCTGAAATCCCAGGCTTGGACCTTCATGGTGGTTCTGTTCCTGAAGAGCTGCAAGGGAAGGCTTTTAGTGCACTTGTCTGAACTACATCCTTTCAGTACTCCAGGTCAAGGACAGGGGCTGCTACTGTCTCCTTTGAGGCATGTGAGGTAACACTGGCTAAGCCAGTTCCCTGTCCCCTGAAGTCTGTGTGACCATCGGACTCTTGAGGGCAATGTGAGAGGCAGGGGCTGTACAAACCCCCCCTCATACCCTGCAGCTGTTGGCTCATCTCTACTGCCTCTCCAGTCTATTCTTGCTTCCCCTTCTCTCTCTGACAAACAGTTCATCTCTACCCTTTCTGCCTACCTTCAAAGCTGTCTCATCTTTCCACTCTCCACCATGCCCTCCACTTTGCCAAGGAAGCTGAAGGTACTGGGTAAAGGATCAGGAAGCATGTGCAGCCCTGGGCAACCTCTTACCATAGAGCCAGTTCTTTACATCATACTCCCTTGTTTTGCAATAAAATCGTGATGGGCCGGGCCTTGGCAGAGGGCCAGCAGTTTGCATTGCTGTCTTGTTGCCCCTCTGCTCCCTCTGAACGCTGCTCAGAAAGAAGAGACCCCTACTGAAATACCCCGGAGGGAGCGGTCGGACTCCTGTAGCACCAGCTCCCTTCAGGGGGGCAGCAGCTGCATGAATTACTCCCACCCTGCAGCTCCGCCAGCTCAGCTCCGCACCTGGCCCTGCCTGGACGGAGAGCCAGGGCTGACACCCGCTGTTGACTGCCTGTCATCGCCCCGTGCACAGCTGGGCACGGCCGCGTGGGACCCGTTTGCCCGGCCCCGGCCCTGCGGCGCCTGCCTGAGCTCGGGGGCCGGAGCCGCGCTGCGGGCGCCAGCAAGGGGGCTGGGAACAGGCTTCCCTAGCCGGGGCTCGCCAGGTCCTGGGAGGGGCGGGGCAAGGGG